AATTTTTTTATGAGGATAACGTAAGTTTATTTTTAGGATAATGTCTATTTTTTATCCAAATCTTTTTCAGATTATTTTATATCATTCAAAATCAAATCTATTAAAATTCTATTAATTATCCAAATCTTTCATAATGTATCAAAATATTAGCCCATTTTACGTTATCTTAATAATTTTGTTACTCTTTTCTATTATTTAAAATACTAAAATTTTGGAATGTTGACCTTCATGAGTTTCTACCAAGTCAGTATCATGTTGCCAAGTCAATATTACTTACAAAATTGCTAACTGGAAGTTAACATTTGGTTAATTTTTAGTATTTTGATAGGTTTGAATAATATAAAAGAATCTGAAAAATATATGGATAAAAAATCAACATTTTTTTTATAAATAATTGTTAAGTGTTGCTTCAGAAAATTTGAGCCCGAATCATCTAATTTGCAGAGTGATAATAATATCGCTAGATCAAACTTTCTTCACGTTATTTGACGAGAGCAATTCATCATCAAACTGTGCTTCTTTGTATTTTCCGTGCATACATTAATGGTGGGTGGAATGCCGTATTCTCTGACCATTCAAGCTAAGCTATGGTTTCTATAGCATTGAGACAATGACCCAAGTATTAACTAGATTTAATAATTAAGTGGGGTAACAGAAAAACTAGTGCATTATTGTTTCTTTTATACAAGACTCTAAGCTTCTTGTATTTTAAATTAACCAACCAAATTATATATTATTATGTGTGTAGGAGGGTTAGGCCAAAAGCTACGTTAATTTCCGCCCCTTGTTTTGAGTGACAAAGCAGAGGATTGATCGATCCCATTCACATATAGCTAGCTCGATCAAACCCTGTATTATTATTATTATTATTATTATTATTATTATTATTATTATTATTATTATTATTATTATTATTAGTGGTGGGTAGTAATCGTCTTAATATGTATGATCAGAAATGCCGACTGATTCAATTAAAGAAAAATTACAATGTAAGTTATTAATTTAAACAAACAAACAAACAAAACAGGTGTGGTTTGGTTTGGTAGCCAGAACAAGGGACAAGCTGCCAAAATATTCAAACCGGTAAAGAGAAGATGGTAAGTAGCTAGTTTTCCATATCATGCATGGACTTCTTCGTGATTCACGACCAAGGGATGAGGAGAAGAGCTCTGTGGTCGATTTCTGCATCTTCTTGTCACCTAACTTGCCTTTTTTTTCTGGAAATCAGAAGACACAATTAATGGGGTCCATAAAAAAATGGTTGTGTTTCTTTTATGATTGAGGGTGGCGTGGGATGTGTAGACCGCAGAGGAGATGCTACTGATCATACTACTTTGAACTCGGTATCCAAATTATTGTCTTATTAGTTTTTATCGCGTATACGAGCTGATATGACTAATTCAAAATTACACTTATATATCTTATTCAATAGCTTGTGTATAGATATTAGTACATTTGTTCTAGTAGTGAGCTCTGCGAGATTGATTGAGAGTGTGTTGATGCGGAACGGGATTTCACGCACCGGTGATCTCGAGCGATTTAACGAAAGAACTAGAAAACGCGATAAAAGAGCTACTTTTCTCTACTAACTACTTAATACTTTATTGATCGACTGAATAAAACGAAGAGCAAAGGTACATATTTATAGGACAAGTCCCACAAACCCCTTTCCTCTTAAGACAAGGAAACCCAAACCCAAAGCAACAAGTAAACGAATACTTCCTAAACAAGATACATAATAATAATCCTAGATCCAAACTAATACGAATAACCCAAATAATAACCGAATATCCCACCAAATAATAATAATAAAACAATAATAATAATATTAATGGGCTCGGCCCAAGACGCCGTCACCCATCAATCCTCCCCCCTTTTTACAACTTCGTCCCCGAAGTTGCCTTCCGCTTCCGCTCCTTCTTCCTCTGCCTTGAAGTCGCCGATCATGACAAAAACGTTCGCGTTGGCGCAACGATGCCCATACGTGAATCTCTCGTCGCAGTTATAGCACAGTCCGTCGCGACGACGCCTAGCAGCTTCTTCCGGTGACAGGTTGCGGATGATGCGCCGTGGCGGAGGTGGTGGAGCTCGCCCTGTTGTTGGCGCAATTGGCGGAGCAGCTGATGGTGCAACTGGAGCAGGTGGCGGTGGCGCCCAAGTCGCGTCGGCGGTGGCTGTCTGCGGTGCAGTCCTCGTTGATCCCTTCTCCAAGCGCAACTCTTCCTCGCGTATCTTAGCCAATCGATACGCTTCGCCAGTGGTTTGCAGATTAAAAGCTCGGATATAGGCAGATATTTCCGGCTTCAATCCTCCTATGTAGGACCCCATGATCGCAACCTCAGTCCAACCGCGGCAACGATTCAGCAACTTCTCGAAGGTATGTTGATATTCGTCAACGGAACCAGTTTGACGAATCTTGGCCAACGCCTCATGTCCAGACGACTTCTCCGATGACCCATACCTTTTCCATAGCTCGGCGCACAGACTGCTCCAAGTCATCATCACCCTGTACTTCGCGAATTCTTCCTCAAGCCACCTGATCCACTGGTTCGCGTCACCATCCATGTGATAAGTAGCCAGCGCCACCTTCTGCTCTTCTGGAATGCACTGGTAGCGGAAGTACTTCTCAACACGCGAGACCCACCCAGATGGATCTTCCTTGCCAGTGAACTTCGAAAATTCGAGCGGTGCGATCCTGGTTCGAAACATTGCTTGACCTTGCTCCTCGAATTGACCCATGGGTTGGCTCAACCCAGTCGGTCCACCAGAATACGGCCCGCCCGCCCGTGGACTTGGGGTCGGCCCACAGCGGGTACGCACCAGCTCTGCTGACCCGGCCCGAGCGGTGGTCTGGGCTCGGTCCAGCTTGCCCCTGCAGCCCATGGCCCGCTTGGCCCAGCTCCCTGCGCTCCTGGCCCACTCAGCGGCCACTGATGGCGCGGCCCATTCCCCGGAAGACCCGGCCCGTAAGCGCTCGACCCTGCCGGTCCATAGGGCCCGTTTGCGTCCCCGGCCCGCCCGTGATCACGCCTGGCCCAGACGGCCTGTCTCCAGCTCGGCCTCCCTCGGTTGCTCCTGGGCCAACCCCGTAGAGCAAGGCCCCAGTCAGGCCACCCATATTGGGCCCTAGCCCACGAAATACTCCTCCGCGGTTGGTGGGCTCCGGAGTCGGCCTCATCGGTGGCCTCCCCCCTTGGGCGTCGACCTGCTCCTCCCCGCCATCGACGACGAGATTCCCGCAGCCAGCTCCGACGGGAATCCCGCGACCGATCCCTCCACTGCGCCCCACGCTCTCGACCGGTGCCCCGTTCATCACTCCCGGTTTCGTTCCCGGCGTCGGTGTCGAGCTCCCGCTCGTGGAAGAGGGAAACCCCTCGTCCACAGCGACTGCCTTCAGCTTCTCTGCAGCCGTGATCTGGTCGATGGTGCGACCTTTTCCCCCCAGCGACGAGGTCAAGCTCCTTCGACGGCTCGACCTCCTTCTTCTCCCAAGGCGGATCGCGGAGGATTGCGAGGATCACGCTGACGTCGTTCGCCAACCGCCCTTGCTCAACGCGGACAACGTTGATCTCCTCCGACAACCGATCCTGTCCATCCTGAAGTTTCTCCTGACCACGCTGCAATTGCCCGACGTCGACCCGGAGATGCTCCAGGGCTGCTTCGTGATTGCGGTTGATAGCATCCTGAGCTTCCATCCTAGCCACGATCGCCTGTTGATGACCTGCGAGAACTTGAAATTGAAGCGCTAGCTCCTCGTCGCCGGCGGCGGTTGGTGATGATGGTGCTGTTGGCTGCTTGCGCGGTGGCATGGTCTCCTAGCTTGGTTCACTCAGAACCGGGCTCTGATACCAATTGATGCGGAACGGGATTTCACGCACCGGTGATCTCGAGCGATTTAACGAAAGAACTAGAAAACACGATAAAAGAGCTACTTTTCTCTACTAACTACTTAATACTTTATTGATCGACTGAATAAAACGAAGAACAAAGGTACATATTTATAGGACAAGTCCCACAAACCCCTTTCCTCTTAAGACAAGGAAACCCAAACCCAAACCCAAAGCAACAAGTAAACGAATACTTCCTAAACAAGATACATAATAATAATCCTACACCCAAACTAATACGAATAACCCAAATAATAACCGAATATCCCACCAAATAATAATAATAAAACAATAATAATAATAATATTAATATTAATATTAATGGGCTCGGCCCAAGACACCGTCACCCATCATGTGTTTATGTTCTCTTCTTAGTTTAGATGCACGGTGTGTGTTTAGACTTGTGATTTAAAAAAAAAAAAAAAAATTGAGAAGCTTCTCATTGTCATTTTTATGGTTATGTTGCAATAAAATCAACCTAGTATGTAGTTGCCAACGCAAACCAGCTTTGAACAATAGATTAAAGAATTGCACAATAGTCGAACCTCATCGACAAGTAGCGTGTGTTCTTTACTTCTCACGCTTGCCTTATTTTTCATCTTCATCGTCATCATCATCAACGGGCTCGAGGTTCCTTTGATCCCTAATCAAGACCAGTTATAGCCGATGTGGTCGCAAATTCTCTACCTAATGAAAGAGCTTCCTTTCCCACCACATCCTTGACATAGGAGAACACTTAAAAACAAAAGCACTTACCAAACAAGGAATAACAAAAACAAATATAGCATTGGTGCTTTAATGTACAGTTTAAAGTTGTACCATAACATTAAATGTATAAGTTTAGGTTGTATCATAAAGCAATTTGTACAATTATGTTATGGTACAACTTCAAGTGTGTTATGGTACCATAAAGCAATTTGTACCATAAAGTTGAAGTTGTACCATCACATAAAGATACAAGTTCAAGTTGTACCATACAAGAATTTGTACCACAAGTATAGGTACAATCTGAAGTTGTACCATAACGTAAATGTACAATTTTAAGTTGTACCATAAAGGAAAAAACATATAGCACCAATACTATATAGCATTGTAAAATTTCTCAAGGGGAGAGATGTCATCCACATGCGGAGGGAATTAAGCTACCTTTTTTTTTTGTATTAATATTTTGGTTTTGATATATGTTAGAGTAAAGTCTCTTGTTACTATAGGTGACAAAACATCTAATATTGGGTTATTCATACCATATTTGCGTTATTCACGCCATATTTGTGTTATTCACGTCATATTTGCGTCATTCACGTAAGAGTGTTGATTATTCACGCAACCAATAATGTTAGGTTACGTCATCTGATGTTTATTCACGCATATTGTTAATTATTCAGCCCGTTGTAAAATAAAATTTTAAACTTTGAAATATATAAAAATGAATGTCATTGTGTAGATTATGATCAATGCAACATATTTGTACAGATTAAATGATAATCCAAATTTAGTTCCATAAAATATAGCCAATACAAATTATTAGGGGGAAAAGGTATGAATTTCCATTTACGTGAAAAACTTACACTCTTACGTAAATCACCATAGCATTACGTGAATGAACACAAAATGGCGTGAGTGAGCATAAAATGGTGCGAATGAACTGGTCTTAGTTGTTCTCTCAAACGTTTACCATACCCTTGGAATGCGAAAGAATATGATGTCAGCAGTGGCGTACCCAGGATTTTGAGATAGGTGTGTCGGCCCATAAAAATAATTTTAAAAATAATAATTAAATAATTAAACATAAATATAAAAATGTATATTTTATTCATAAATTTCACCAATTTTATTGTGTCGGTGAGTCATGACGAATTTTCATATTCTGAAGATTTCTTAATGACATTTGTCCATTAGGTTGCAAAACAAATCTTTTTTGTGTAAATAACTAAACAATTATTCATAAATTGGTCACTCAACTGATACCAAATGGATATTTTACAATTGTAGCTTGCAATTGTAAGAGGTAAAGTCAACACTCATTGAAGATGAGAAAATTAGGATGGGAAACTGAAAGAGTGGCCACAGGCGTTAACGTGGAAGTTTGAATGAGAATGAGGATTTCACTGGCACTACGCTGACAATTGGAGGGTGGTGACAAGCGTCAACGTGAAAAGCAATAACTAAACAAGATAGCAAATTGAAAATTAACTTTATGAAAAAAATATGGAAGACGGGGGAAAACGACATGGAATTCACTATCTAATTACTTGACTCAACCAGCTTATTAATCAGTTCAATTTTCGTTTAATTTATCGAGGTTATCTCTAAGGTGATAGCTATCTCTCTGAATACTCACTACGTGCTAAGTAGTCAATTAATTGTTTACCTTTTTATAATAAACTAATTAACTACCTACTCTAAAGTCCGATAACTCCTATATTTACATATTTTAATAACATTATGACAACAAATTTTTAATGTAACAAGGTGTGTCGATTACAATTATCAAAGGTGTGTCGGAGGTCCCATGTTCGAATTTTTTGTACCAAAAAAATGTGGGTTCCTTACAAAAATTTCGGGCTAAGGTGTGTCGGGTGACACACCTTCCTCTAAGGTAGGTCCGCCCCTGGATGTCAGTATCACAACTGAAAACATCTGGTAATTATGTGGTATTCGGTCCCAAAAATGTGAAGGTGATTCGAAGCTTACAACCAACTTCTGATCTGATCATGCAAGGGCAGAAGTTAGAGCCTGTCTATGTAATGTCAGTAGAAGCTGCTTATGTTGACAAAACAAGAAGGAATGAGACAGCAAGCTTATGGTACGCTCGTCTTGGACACGTTGGCTATCAGAAGCTCAGGGTGATGATGAAGAAGTCCATGCTCAAAGGACTTCCTCAACTTGATATTCGTGACGATATCGTATGTGCTGGATGCCAGTATGGGAAAGCTCATCAGCTACCATATGAAGACTCAAAGTTCAAGTCTAACGTCATCCATTTCCGAGTATTTGGTTGTGTGTGCTATGTGTTTGTAGCAAACCATGCTCGAAGCAAGTTTGACAAAAAGCAGTCCGGTGCATTTTTGTGGGTTATGCCAATTAAAAGAAAGGATGGAGATGTTGTGACCCAACAACAAGAAACTGTTATGTGTCACGCAACGTGGTGTTTGACGAAGTATCCTCCTGGTGGTCACCAGAAGCAGTCCTACTTCCAGACTCAAAGGAGATGGAGGAGAGGTTGCTAGAGAGGTCTAGTGAAGAAGAGGTGAAAACAACATAAACTTAACAAGGAGAAAGTTTTGCGGGAGCTCAAACTCGCTCCCCTGAAAAAGGCAAGAGTCTTTGGAAAACTAGAGTTCACCAGCCAGTCACAGAAGAAGAACGGCCTAGTCAACTGGATCATATTATTGATCCTCAACAAGAGCTCGAAAGGTCGAAGAGGGCTAGAAAGCCAAATCCCAAATTTGTCAATGTACCCATGATAGAAGATATTGGCGTAAGTGAACCAATATCTTACGAAGAAGCGGCAAAACATGGTGAATGGATAAACTCTATGAAAGAAGAGATTCAAGCTCTCGAGCAAAATCAAACATGGGAACTCGTACCAAAGTCTGAAGATATTAAACCCATATCCTGCAAAATGGGTTTATAAAGTGAAGACCAAGTCAGATGGATCAATTGAGCGCTTCAAGGCTCGATTGGTGGCTCGTGGATTTTCTCAACAATATGGGTTGGATTATGACGAAATGTTTAGTCTAGTTTCTAAGATCACAACTGTCCGCGTACTCTTAGCACTTGCAGCCAGTAAGTCTTGGATAATGTGGCAGCTAGATGTGAAGAATGCTTTCTTACATGGAGAGCTTGATCGAGAGATCTATATGGAGAAACCTAGTGGGTTTGAGAGCACAAACTCAAACTATGTCTATAAGCTCAAGAAAGCCCTATACGGTCTTAAGCAGGCGCCTCGTGCTTGGTATGGGAAGATTGGAGAATTTCTACTCCAATGCAGATACTCTGTCACTCCGTCATATTCAAGTTTGTTTGTCAAGAAGCAAGATGGAAAATTAGCAATTGTGCTAGTTTAAGTTGATGACTTGATCGTGACTGGAGATGATAAAGAAGAAATCAACCGGACTCAAACGAATCTATCCATAAGGTTCCAAATGAAGGAACTTGGAGAGCTGAAGCACTTTCTTGGACTTGAAGTCGAGAAAAGACAAGATGGCTTATTTCTCAGTCAATGGAGATATGCCATAGTGTTGCTAGAGAAGTTCGGGCTACAAGAGTGCAAGCCTATGACAACACCAATGGAGGCTAACGTTCAACTCAACTCACAAGAAGGAAAAGATTTAGAAGACGTGGCGATGTATAGACGACTTGTGGGTAGTTTGATCTACCTAACTTCGACTTGTCCTGATATTTCTTATGTAGTTGGAGTCGTTAGTCGTTTCATGCAGAATCCCAAGAAGGTTCACCTAGAGATCATCAAAAGAGTCTTGAGATATGTCAAAGGAACCATTGAACATGGGATATTTTATAAGAAGGGAGCAGACTGCAAGCTTGAAGGTTATTGTAATGCTGATTATGCTGGAGACCTAGACATTTTTCGTTCAACAACAGGATTGTGTTCACACTCAGTTCAGGAGCAGTGTCATGGTGCAATAAAAAGGCAGTCGACAGTTTCACTGTCAAGTACAGAGGCTGAATATAGAGCGGCAGCAATGGCATCACAAGAGTGCACCTGGCTAGTGCAACTTTTGAAGGACCTTCATCAAGAAGTTGATTACCCGGTTCCATTATATTGTAACAATTTATCTGCTATCAAGTTAGCAGAGAATCCTGTGTTTCATGCTAGAACAAATCATGTTGAAGTTCATTATCATTTTCTTCGAGAGAAAGTACTAAAGGAAGAGATAGAGATGAAAGCGGTGAAGACTGGAGATCAGGTTGCATATATTTTCACTAAAGCATTTTCGAGGGTCAAGTTTGAAGAGTTCAGAAGCAAACTTGGAATGATCAAGAAGAAATAGAGTGTTGGTGACACTAAATCACGTGAAAACACTACTCAAGCATGATACGAACACTACTCAGAGTAATGGTAAATTAAACTTTAAGGGGGAGTATTGACTCGTTATGACACAACTCCTAACAAAGGCCAAGTGTAACCAACGAAAGGGACTACAGTATAGTGGCTCAAGTAATAAATATCGAATCCACGGGTCTCTAGAGTTACTATTACTCAGCTTCAGTTCATTATCTAGCAAACCAGATTAAGATAGAACAACTAAAACTACTCTAGCAAACTACAGTTAAAGTTAATCTAATTACAGGTTGGGAACTCACTTGGGTATGATTCCCCCTAGCCACTAGCCGGATTAATGATTGATGATCTCTAACTTGTTTCACTCTCATTCAAAATGCGAAGATTCCTCAACTAGACCTTGAGTCTCGACTAAAGGAACAAGGTCCTCTTGATTCAATTGCCTAGAGGGACGTATCCTTCTCTAGAACAACCGATCAAGGCATTCTGAACTAGATTCCCTCTATCGAATGAGGTTAGCAATTGATACAAAGCAGTGAATTTACCCACGAATAAAGCAATCGATCCAATACTATCAATCTATGGCGCTCTATTGACCTAATCAGGTACTCGCTCTCATAGGATCAAAGCAGAATCAATAATCTCGACTAAAGCAGAATTGAATCATGAAAACATGCATAGATTGAATATGAACTCAAGATTATCAAGTAAGAGTACTCATACAATCATCCAATCAAACAAACACAGCTAGGGTTCTTCAAAACCTAAGTGAAGGGAAGTTACTCCATAGAGAAGAGAGAGACTGTAGTAAGAATCTTCAGATGGTCAGTCTTCAAGTCCGGGCTTGTTCCTCGAGCTTCCAAGGCAAAGAAATCCTCCAATTCCACTCCACGAGTGCCCTCAAATTTCCCTCTCTCTCTCTCTCTCTCTCTCTCTCTCTATCTCTCTCTATCTCTCTCTCTGGTTCGTCCCTTGGGTGTTTGGGATCCAAAACCCCGCTCTCCCCTCTCAAAAATTGCAGAAAATATACTTATACCCGAGCAGGGGGCAGAAACACGATCGGGAACATGGTCGTGTTTAGTCCTGCCCGTGTTTTAAATCCCTTCAGCAGCCTTCACAAGAGAGGCTCGGCATAAAAAACACTGGCAGGTTCCAGATGAAACACGACCGTGTTTTTAGGGTAGTCTGGCCGTGTTTCTTCCGCCGAACCTGTTCCCTATATTCAATGCTTTGTTTCTCCTTCGTCCGGACTCCGAATGAGTTGTTGTTTGATCCTAGACGCTCGTAGTCTTGTCCTCTTTCTTTTCATGACAAGCTTGCATAATTATTAGTCCATAAAAGAGGTATAAATCCATTCTTCTTCAGGTCATGCCTGAGTTTCTTCTCCCGAATCACCAATTGATCTCCGATTGACTTGAAACTTGCGCCTATGCCTCCCTTTGCTCACTAGGACCTACAATGTTACAAAGGAACACAACCTAGCATAAAACATACCAAAGAAGCGATAATTCAAGCTTAAACAATCAAGAAACAAAGGGGAAAACATGTGCAAATATCAAGTCATCAAATCCCCCCACACTTAACCGTTTGCTTGTCCCTAAGAAAACCTGACTCAAAGCAATGCAACTCTCCAGAACTTTATAGCAACACACAACCTCGATCGTCGGTAGCGGACTTCCTATATCATTTAGCAACTTACAAGGTCAACCGGTCTTCTAAGACATCCCCCTATCTTTCTCAATGCGAGTACTAGACTCAAACTAGGATCATTCAAAGTTGTAGACCTAAGACATAAAATTCATGTATAATGAGACTCACACAACACACACAAACGTGGACTTTTGTATCGAGTGCTCTTCTCATTTCATTTCATTTGTTGGAATCCCTTTTTCTCAATTTTTCCTTTTTTTTCTTTCATTTCATTTGTTGTTGGGGTTCCAACTGCATTTATGCGCGGTCGACCCTTATTGGTTTAGCAAAAGAAATTTCTGTACATCTGTCGCTCGCCATGGTACTTCTTTTCCTCAATTCGTGCGGAGGGTCAATGAAATTAAGGGGGGTCAGAAGCTCTATCTGTACCCTTAAAAATACATCCTTGAGTAGGCAAACCGTCAACGGGTGAAAATTTTACTTGTACTAGAGACAACTTGTAGGAGTACCCCACTAAGGATCACTAAAATCTCTCCCAAAATCGGATTTTGTGCAATGAACGGTGCCACACACGTTGGGCTTACCCCATGTTTAAGATGTCAGATTATTGCCATGGGGGACCAACTGCGTTTCATTAAGTACACTGCGCACCTTCTCATGATACAATAGTCCAAACACAACGGAAGTCATCTATATCACATGAATCAAAGGTTCTAAAGCCACTAGTTCACACAATCAACCGGCACAACAAGGAGACAGATAGGATAAATCTTATACTTCAGCATCCTCCATAGTGCTACAACTACCTCTCTAGGTTGCATAGTACTATAAAGGCTGTCAATTCAAAGCATACTGAGCAGGAAATTGCAGGGAACACGTACTTGGAGCCCTTAAATTTAAAAATTTAGACAGTGGACTAGGCTCCAAGCACACACATACAACCAAACATTCACACACATATATAATCGAACATCCCCCCCCCCCCCCCCCCACACACACACACATAAGCACGCCATTGTCCTCAATGGAGGAAAGATAAGGAGGGTAGAACGAAGTTACCAGATCAAGTGTGAATGATGGTGGACGGGGCAGGCGGTGCATTCCAGGAGGAGAGAGTAGTCGGAACACAAACACCACACAAAATCTCACAAAGGTTGAGTTATTGACTCTAAAATCAAAGACCAAAACTTACTCAACCGAGTACATATAGGGAAAGAAATGCAAACCGACTAGTTGGGTTGCCTCCCAACAAGCGCTTCTTTCACGCCGTGAGTCAGACGATGGCTCCTAAGTTTCACTCCACCCCAAAACCTCTTTGAAGTTGAGGTTCTCGTCGATGAGGTGGAGTCTCAAGTCACAAGCATGTGGTATGACAGGTGATGAATGCTCATGCACTTTATGCAACTGAAGTCTCCAGACTCTCCACCCTCAAGACCTCTTCTTCGTTTCTTCTCTTGTCTCATTGCCCCAAACCAGATATAACTGTATCGACTGACCAACATCGCGTCCACCAATAGGGAACGATGTCGATGTGGCCTTGGTCTGTCAAAGAGACACTGCAAACGGGTCCTTGCCAAGCAGTTCCTCGAAGATTGGTGGGGATATTACTTGTAAAATAGGGCCGGTGCAAGCCTCTTCCACGTCAACTTCATCCCCAGCATGGACGCCAATTGCTCTTTCAATCCCCTTCCTTCTTCAAAATGTGGTATTTCCCCTGGGAAAATATCAAGAACTTCCTCTAATTCACTTCCGTCATCTTCCACAACTTCTTTCCCCATCCTTTCTCGCTCTTCTTCTTCTAGCACGGATTGGAGAGCAAGTCGCCAAGCAATTTATTTCATGAGACCATCTTGCGTATCCTTGCTCATGCCCACCTCTTCAAATCTCGGTGTGGGATGTGAGAAGGTGTGGTCGGCTACGACAAGACATTTTTTTATCATTATCATCACGGGAGCTCTCCGTGACAACTTTTGTCTGCTCCACAATGTCTTTATAGCCTTCGTCTTCCTCCTCCTCTTCTAGTATAGTAGCAGAAGGGTGATCTTGAGAAGGTTGTGCATAAGATTTCTCAAGATCCTTGAGGCTCTTCTTAATGCTCAGGAGGATCTCCTCTGTTTTGTGATAGGCCTGGGTACAAAGATCCATCTTGGAGTATGATCTCTCAGTGTCTCGAGCAAACTGCTCCACGAGAAGCCTCAATTCATAGTTTGGATCTGGTCGTGGAGTGTAGTATGGCTCTGCAGAATGGCCCGTGAAGGCCGCCATGGCTAACTCCAACTCCGATGGCCCTTCCGATTGTGGGAGAAATTCTTCTTGATAAGAAGATTGTTCTTGAAATGACCAGGGGTCTGATTGTTCTTCATAGTAGGGGGGTTGATACTGAAACCCGAATCCATAGTCTTCCCCTCCTTGATTTCTCCAGGAAGTCTCGGGGTAATACCACTCGGGTGGTGGTGGATACCCCCACTAGTTGGAGAAGCCATTAGGATCCATGATTGAGATCTGCACCAACAAAAACAAAAACACCCAAGTGAAAAGCAAGGGTGGAATAGAAAAACAACAGAAAGAAAAGCTAAATTAACAAACTTCTGACTTTCCTAATAATCTAGAAAGTCCCCGTCAACGGCGCCAAAAACTTGACTCGCTATGAGTATGACAAAACTCCTAACAAAGGCCAAGTGTAACCAATAAAAGGGACTGCGGTATAGTGGCTCAAGTAATAAATATCGAATCCACGGGTCTCTAGAGTTACTATTACTTAGCTTCAGTTCATTATCTAGCAAACCAGATTAAGATAGAACAACTAAAACTACTCTAGCAAACTACAGTTAAAGTTAATCTAATTACAGGTTGGGAACTCACTTAGGTATGATTCCCCCTAGCCACTAGCCAGATTAATGATTGATGATCTTTAACCTGTTTCACTTTCATTCACAATGCGGAGAATCCTCAACTAGACCTTGAGTCTCGACTAAAGGAATAAGGCCCTCTTGATTCAATTGCCTAGAGGGACGTATCCTTCTCTATAACAACCGATCAAGGCGTTCTGAACTAGATTACCTCTATCAAATGAGGTTATCAATCGATACAAAGTAGTGAATTGACCATCGAATAAAGCAATCGATCCAATACTATCAATCTATGGCGCTCTATTGACCTAATCAGGTATTCGCTCTCATAGGATCAAAGCAGAATCAATAATCTTGACTAAAGCAGAATTGAATCATGAAAACATGCATAGATTGAATACGAACTCAAGATTATCAAGTAAGAGTACTCATAAAATCATCCAATCAAACAAACATAGCTAGGGTTCCTCAAACCCTAAGTGAAGGGAAGTTACTCCATAGAGAAGAGAGACTGCAGTAAGAATCTTCAGATGATCAGTCTTCAAGTCCGGGCTTGTTCCTCGAGCTTCCAAGGCAAAGAAATCCTCCAATTCCACTTCAAGAGTGCCCACAAATCGCCCTATCTCTCTTTGATTCGTCCCTTGGATGTTTTAGATCCGAAACCCAACTCTCCCCTCTCAAAAATCGCAGAAAATAGACTTATACCCAAGCACGGGGCGGGAATACGATCGGGAACACGACCGTGTTTAGTCATGCCCGTGTTTTGGTCCCGCCCGTGTTTTAAATCCCTTCAGCAGTCTTATCAAGAGAGGCTCGACATAAAAAACACTGGCAGGTGCCAGATGAAACACGTCCGTGTTTTTAGGGTAGTCTTCCCGTGTTTCTTCCGCCAAACCTGTTCCCTATATTCAATGCTTCGTTTCTTCCTCGTCTGGACTCCGAATATGTTTTCGTTTGATCCTAGACGCTCTTAGTCTCGTCCTATTTCTTTTCATGTCAATATTGCATGATTATTTGTCCATAAATGAGGTAGAAATCCATTTTTCTTCAGGTCATGCCCGAGTTTCTTCTCCCGAATCGCCAATTGATCTCCGACTGACTTGAAACTTGCGCCTATGCCTCCATTTACTCACTAGGACCTAAAATGTGACAAAAGAACACAACCTAACATAAAATAGGTCAAAGAAGCAATAATGCAAGCTTAAACGATCAAGAAACAAAGGGGAAACATGTGCAAATATCGAGTCATCAAGTATTGAAAAATAATGTTTAATTAAAAAAAATGTAACATCACAACAAGTTATAGTTTTGAAGTGTGTGGAGTTATCTAGAACTTGTATTAATGTGGGTAGTTATGGATTACGAAAAGAAAAAAAAGAACCACAAATGGGTAGATATTTGTGGAGTTAAGTAGGTGTGAAGTGGTAGTTAAGTGTGACAAAGTATAAGCCACAATTTAATGTTGGAACTTGGCTATAAATAGCCATGATTTGTGTATGGTTTTTTCATCCCAAGCAAATCAAAGCAAATAAGAGGAAAGAAAGAAGAGAGTGTTTGAGTATTTGTGATTTGTGGGAAGGTGAAGCAATAAGAGAGTTTGTGAGCATTTCGATCCATTTTTTCCTACATCTTTAACCACACCTACACTTCCTTGATGTCCAAAGTACCCAATGCCTCCATGTTACAATTTTGACCAATCGAATTGTGCCAAGTGTTTTTCAAAATAATTGCAAAGAATCTAGCATCGCAGTTGGGTAGGGTCTTTCCGAAGAAAGTGAGTTTCCATCCAGTGGCGGAGGCAGTGCATACTAAGGTGGGTCGGAAGAAAATATGTACATCTAAATCATACCAAAAGTTATATCGGACAAGTCAATGGTAGGATATTTTATGTTGAAAACGTGGTTTAATCGTGGTTCAACCATTTCATACCGCTAAATCTTCTACTAATTTCGCTTCCAGTATGAGATTTTTTTGATCGAACCATTGGTACGATACGATTTTTTAATCCTTAATACAATAGTTAATTGTTGGTGAGATTTTTCACTAACATTAATCAATATGGATCACTATTTCTACCATCAAACAATAATTAAATAATGAATTTATCTATCATCATTACATAATACATTTAGTTTCTATATAAATAATATTACCACAAAATATAGCTTCATCCTCCAGGCCTCAAATTCTTAATTTATTCATTATATATCGCCAAAACTTTCTTTTGTTGACACTCGCTAGATTCTTTTTATCCTAATAATAAATTCAATATATAATGTTGTAATCCTCAACTAGATTATTATATGTTTACTTTGACGTGAATATAGGCTAGCTGTTGTCTAAAACTATATAGAATTAGGAGTAATTTTTCGAATCATGGTAATTGAAAGAAGTAACTTATTGTTGTTGCTAACTAAGGCTCCACTACAAGTATTGAAATGACATTTTCAATGAGCCACGTGAAAACACTCTTTGGTATCTAATGGCCTAATGGGTGACAAAATCATGGATGATTATTTTATAGGATATATTGACATGAATATCATATGAATGCAAGTTCGTCAAAATATGAGAACACGATATGGGGCACTGCAATGATTCAAATATTTCTTGTAATATACAATCCTGGCTATGCCACTGTTTCCATCATAATAGTTTTGTTCGAGGGAGGTCGATCACCATCAACAAACTCATCGGTCAAGAGGTTATGCAAGTTTTAGAAACAAAGGTGCAAGACAGTGAGAAATGAAAGGTGTATGATCGCGTCAAGTGACCTTTTCTTATGTTGATCATGCGGGCCTGGTGTTCTTTCAGGTATGGTTGGATTGGATCCATGAGTGCATTTCTACGGTAGGTTTTTCGGTGCTCTTTGCTATTTACACTAAGGTCTTTTCGAAAAATATTTGCTTTGAAATTATTGATGCTTCCTTACATGACTTATGTGTTCACAACATGCACCTATTACGTCTCATTGCCTTTTGAAGATGATACATATCTGTTTCTTCAAGCTTCTATGCCAGAATGTTCTCATTCATTATATATTTTCGAGGGATAAGAGCGGGTTAGCGAGCAAAAGGTTAATTTGAGGAAATCATATATTTGTGTTAGTTCTAACGTGAGTGCATAGAGAATTGGAGCTTCGGTGCTTGAGTTTGATCCTGGAAGGTGAAAGCGATGTCACCTATCCCAGCTTTGGTGGGCAGATCAGGACAAAGAAGATGATATGCATTGGCTATCATGGCTAGATTATAGCAAATTCGAAGGTGGTCTCGGGTTTCATGACTTTGATATTTCAATGTCGCCTTGTTGTCCAAACAAGCATGATGGGTACTTTAACACTCAGCCCCTATATTTTGACATAAGTATCGTGCTTGCTAACATCATTCCACAATGTTCTTAACGGCGAGAGCTAGAGCTCGTCCCTCTTGGAAACACGATTATGGTGGTTGGGATTGGGTTTGCTAGCTTTTCGGCGGATGGACTCTTTGCCTTTGGCAAGGCTTATGCAGGTATCACTAATCCTTTTATTATGGAAATTTTAGCCTAACGAGATGGTTGCTTGGTGCCTTACTCATGGTTTCTTGATTAGTAACTTTTTGTGGCGACTGCAACTTTGGTGTCGGGGGTCTGAGACATGGATGCAACACATGGGGCGGGCGGAGCTCTAAAATAGGAAACTCATATGGGCATTCTGAAGTTTTCTTCTTTCGCTACATATACTCCATACTGTACAATAGGGGTGCCCATTTAGTGACCGTTATGACTGTTTGCAATTCGATTATTTGCCGACTGCTGCGTTTGGTTGCTTATTGTACTTTAACTATCTATCATTGAATTCTATCTATGGTGAAATATGTTTTTATCATGTATCATCTTATTTACCAGTTGTACAATTAAATTTTTTTTTAGCTTAATAGCACACAAAAAAGCTCTGTAAACTAAATGGTTGTAGTGTCCCATCGAAAATATGTGAACTCAATAACAACATATTGATTTAATAGAAATAGGATAGCCAAAACTTTCGCGTTTGTGCCAGTAAAAGTCAGATTTGGAGAAATACTACTTATAGCCACTTCCGTCCAATTCTTTAATGGTGTCAACTAACATGCTGATTGGACTAACAGAAAGGCTGATGTGGTGATATAGGTGCAATTAACCAAAAAAATAAATAATAAAAATAAAATTTCAATTTCTTTAAACAAAAATAGTCAAAACAAATTCTCTCCTTCCATGTGCCTCTGCAAGAAATCGAGATCCACCATTAATGGCGGACCAAAGCAAACAAGAAAAAAGATGAAGAAGAAAATGGACCAAAAAGACGCAAAGTACACTCGTTGATCAAAACCCCCAAACCTTACTATTAGCCCCCTGCAAAAAAACCATCATTCTCCATAGCTAGCAATGGGCTTGAAGTACCACAGTTCGAGACCCACTTACATTTCATCTTCATCATCATCTCCTCACCACATTCCAATTCCCATGAAATCCTCCAAATTCCTCACCGGGGCAGTCATTCTCTTCACTACTCTCTTCCTCTTCCCACTAACCCAATTCCACACACCCTCTTCCTCCTATTACCTCCCCTCCCCTCCCCTCCCCCACCCAACCCTTCTCCGGCGACCTCCGCGACGCAAACTTCCCATTGAACAAGCTTCTTACCTGAAACCCCGTAGACCCGGACATCGCCGCCATCAGTCATCACCGCCACACCGTCGTCGTTCCTCTCCAACGTCGCGAAAGCTCCAGATCGTCGAGGCCACCAGCCGTTGCTCGCTGTCCCTAGCCATCGTTGGGGCAGAAGAAAGGAGAAGAAGGAAGTCCAATCGTCGTCCCCAGCTGTCGTCACTCCAGATCGAGCTTCCCCACCAGATCTGCAAGAAATCAACTAGCGGCGGCAAGCGACGCCATCTCCCCTCGCCGCGGTGCCCCAGTTCTAGTTGCCTCCCTTCAATGTACTCCTCTGTCACTCTTCCCCTTGTAGTCGCTTCTCCTTCTCCTTCGATCGAAACTAGTGACAGACTAGCGGAGGGTGAAATCGATGTCGAGAATAATGGCAACCTTTTGGCGGCCGATCTTCAACGACATGCATCGCCTCTCGTAGTCGACCCCAATTGACTTCCATCCTACCATCAGCGCAACAACGACCACTGCAGCGGCGGAGTCGGAAAGGGGAAAATGATTCGTGGGGAAGATGGTTCGCGCGAAGCAGATGGCTATATGAGTTTAAATAAAAATTTATTTATTTATTTATGATGTATAAATATTAAATAATAGGAATATTTGACGTGTCACTATTTGATTATTTAGCGCTGATGTGTCTGCTGAGTTGGCTTCTAGTCAGCGAACCGTCAAATAAGTTAACGGTGTTAATAACACAGTTAAAGTATTAGACGGAAATGGCTATATTTGTCTTACAACAACTTTAAAAGCTGGCTATAAGTGCTATTTGTCCAAATCTGGCTATTATTGGCGCAAACCATGGTAAAGGAAACCGTACCGGACATCATACTGGATTTCTTTATGGTATGGTATTTTGTGGTACGACCGTGGTTCAACCGTTTTGTACCGGTAAATACCGTTTTTCACTATTGATAGAGAAATGAAATGCGATAGTATAAAAAATATAATCCATCAAAAAAAGAACCAAATAGAGCATTATACAACCACGATGACCCATTTTCAACATAGAAAAATAGCAAAATAATATTCTTTTTTAATTATTTTCCACATATTGGACGAGAATACGTAGAAATGAAGCTGAATCATAGACCAGGAAACCGGATCGTACTGGCCGGTTCAACCGGTCAAACCGAAAAAACCAGCCGGCACGGTAAAATCAGCACAAGCAGCCCACTGTACCGTTTTTTGTCCAATTTCCGGTTGAACCGGCCGGTACGATCTGGTTTCCTGGTCTATGGCGCAAACACGAAAGTTTTGGCTATACAAGTGTATTATGCCATAGAAATATCACTCCAGCAATGTTATATTCAAAAAATTTATATCATGGTTGTCACACCGGCCAACATGCCACCGGTTGAACCAGGTTCAACCGGTGCTAGTCATGAAACCGACATGACACCACCGGTATGACCAGCATGATTGATTTACAAAGTTTTAAGTAAAATGACGTCATTTATTGAATTGAAATATGAGTACATGTAATTTTATTTGAAATATCAAATTTAATTTAAATATCAATATGAATTGTACTTAAATTGTCTTCAAATAAGGCTTATATATGATTAAATTCATTTGATATTAATAATTTTTGACATCTCTAAATATTTGATTAACAAGTATGAACCAACACAAATTAGTTATACTACTGATAGAATCATTTCACTTGCTAAACCGCACAATAGTATAAATCGGTTTGAGCTTTTTATTCATTCATACAAAAAACTTAGAGGGGGAAATTGCAGTTACCATGGAGTGTACTTGAGACCCAAAAAAGGTTGAGGTGATAGGCGAAAGAAGTGGTGATGGCCCAATCACACTCCGTGAGGATGAAGCCTTTGATTAGGGAGGAGCCAGCCAGCCAGCCAGCCATTACTTGGGACCCACACTACCTACTTGAAATGACAAAACAGCCCTCTGACTTTAAGTCTAAATTACGCACAAAAACCTAGTTCCTTGTCCAAAGCCACTTCCTTCTTGTTGGGTGCTTGCTTCCCCAATCGTAAACAAAAGCTAAAGTGGGTAAACATTATAAAGAGATGCTCATTAGTCATCACCACACCAATTCTTGCCCATTTTGATTGAAAGAAGGGGAGTTGGTTTACAACTACAAAGTTTGTACCCCAAAGGTTATTATATCGTTTGGTGGGGCTTTTTGTCTTTTTTACATTTGCATATTATTAAGGTTGTCTCTAACTTTGTTAGAATGTGTGTATTATACAAAATGATCATAAGGAGATTGAAGATGTGTGGAGCTAAGTGATTTGTTGAAAGTGTGAGATGTAAAAAATGCATAGGTAGAGGAGCGATTATTATAGATATAAAGTACTAATGGTAAAATAATATAGAAAAAACGTTGGAGATCAAGTCTCTGCACATATAAAGTCGTTTGAAATTTCATTACACAATTTGGACACACAGCCATCAAGTTAAGTTTTTCATCCTATACAACTACAAGTGCCATAGAGGACCGAAATTGCACCAGGAGCATGACTCATTTCTAAATATTGGTTGAGAACAAAAATGTAATTGTACTAATTATTTGGCTCTCATTTTTTGTTTCCATAGACAATAGATTGTTAATTGCACGAATAGTGAGTTAATGTTGCCACCTAAGTGATAGGAAACAAGTTAATGTTTGCATCTATTTAATCTTAGCTCGCTTCTAGGGGATTCGAGTATAGGTAATTTCTATCTCCAAATGATTTTCCCCTAGCTAGTTTTGTTATTTCTTGCTTAGTTTAGTTTAGTTTGTTGAAGAACTCTCATTTGATTGTAGGAATAGTAATTTAAAGTATCAATTTTTGTGAGAGAGATTACAATCTTGTTTATCAGTATATTACTATATTGATTGATACATCTGTCAATAGTAGTCGTGTGACTAGAGAAGATCAACAAGTCTATTTATGGACCTTGTTTTGTTAGAATCAATTAAGTACCGATTATATACGGTGTCTATAACAATACCATACAAAAACGAAGACTGCACCAAAATTATGAGTCCATTCCAGATGCTGGGTAATAAAGAAGTGTGGATATATTGATGATTATTTGACACTCATGTATTTTTCATAATGTTATTTATTTGGCCTTGAATTTTCTTTCATAGGAACATAGGGAGATTGATGCCTACTTGGGTTGGGAAAGAGTATTATTGCTATATATAATTTTTTGGATTGCATGGTAATTAATAATAACAAGATAAGGGGGAAAAGGAAAATTGATATGAAAAATACATAATAATTCTACCTTGAGAGGTTACTATCATTGGGGCCTAACCTATTCACCTCCACCTACTATGTTCCTCAAATGCCACCCCCGCCAATCCTTTTTCCATCAAACTAATTATTGGTACATGAGAATAGTCAATAGTGCATCAGGTTTTTCTACTGTTATAAATACACGAGACCGAGCCCAACTTCAATGATTGAGCTGTGTATGTTTGCTAGTAGTTACATACTTTTTGTTTCGACTCACTCGCAGTTATTAATACGATTATCTCATTTTTTTTTATTTTTATAATTAACGTTTTATCGTAACACCAAAAAATCTAATTTGTCGGTATCTCACACTGAGCAATTTTAGGACTAACATTTAGCCTTGTTCATTCACTTGAATGTTGTTCATGCAATCTGCAGAGGACAAAATTTGTCAATAAATGGGAATGAATGTGCATGAGCATTGAGCAAACATCATCATCGTCATCATCTCCATGATAATGCATATATAAAAATAAAAGAGTTGGGTTTCAATTTTTGATGAGTTAGCGTGTAAAAGTTGGCTGCTTGAGTATGTAAGAGATAGATAGATCGATGGGGATGTGAACTGAAAAAAAGAATGGTAGATGAGTTGCGACTTGCCAAAAAAGCATTGGAACTATATGCCATTCATAATTTTATATACACATTTAGTTGGGGCCTTTAGAACATTTATTTTTGTAAATAAAATATATCCTTCTTTCGTTCTGCCCCATATATGATAGATAAATGTATTAATTGATGACTCACATCAAGATATTATATTTATATGAACATTTATTTATTTATTTATATTTTTTTCTTCTTGGAAAAAGTTTTGTGTTTTGGATGTATTTTGAGGCCTTGAAGAGTATGGATAGAGATAATGGGCTAATGGCAGCAGACATAAACCACATTCCCTTCCTTCCATCCTTTTCCTTTCAGAGATTCTTCCTCCTCCCCCTCTCTTTATTCGTATGTCTATGAATCCACTTCTTTCAGCTTCTTCTCCAGTTAATTTTGTTCTTTGCACTGTTAGTCCTAATCAGAATTCAGGCTCTACTCTTCCTTCTGGCCTTATCACACTAGACTACACTTGAGAAAGCAGAGAGCTTAACTTGCTTTCATGATGTTGTTAAACCCTTTGGTTCTTTGTTAGGATATAAGCCCATATTGTCACCAATCAAGGATTTTGATTCTTCCCCACATCTCCCTTCTCAGAATCTTTGGTTTCATTTTCTGGGTTTGTAGCAGAACTTGGAATCTTTGTTCTGGGTCCTGAAAGCTAGATGAAAAGCTTCAAATTTGGCCATTTGAAGCTCTAGCAGGTATCTGGTTTTTAGGGATTCCTATTCATTCTTACTTGTGGCTGCCTGTGAAATTCTATCTTCTTATCTCGTTTCATCCCTTTTTGATAAGACAGCATCTAGCTGCTTTTTTTTTTGTTCCACTTGGTTTCCCCCCGTTCCAGTGGGGTTTTAGTGCCTTCCAGACTTCTCCTGGCGTCTTATTTCTTCCAAGTTTTGAACTTTTTTTTTGTTTTATTGCCCTTCTTTTACCCATGTTGGGTTTTTACTCGACAGCTTCTGTAGAATTTTGAGTTAGTGGGAATTCCATCTTTCCAGCTGGAACGAGCTTAACTCCTGAGTTGGTTACTGTTTTGGATGAGTTTACTTCATGTCCTTGGCTTTGGCTTAAAACTCGGGCATCTCCTCTTGTTGTTATGCTGCTGGGTTGTGTCGGTAATTTCAATGAATTCCTTCATAGATAGCGAAATTGAGCCATCCAATTCTTCTATTTCTGCTGCTGCTGCTGCTGCTAATTTGCTTGGCGGTAAGATGTGGCTGAAACTTTGGGAGAAGATCTCAGTGAACAGTAGCAAGATCCACCAGGTCCTTGAGGCGAAGAGTGTGCAGAAATCCTTCTGGAAAAAGCTTTTACGGTCTTGGGCAGTTTTTTGGATAGTGGCTTGTGCATTGATGTTTCGTTTCTTCAACAACCAAGCAATCGACAAGAGGAAAGAGACTCTTGGTAGTATGTGTGATGAGAGAGCTAGGATGTTGCAGGATCAGTTCAATGTTAGTATGAACCATGTTCAAGCCATGTCCATCTTGATCTCCACCTTTCACCATGGCAAGAACCCTTCTGCTATTGATCAGGTTAGTGGAGTTCCTTTGCAGATTAGCTTTTTCCTTTTCTTGTTGATTGAGTTTGAGATTCGAGATTTTAACTTATCAGTATACTTTCTGTAGAGAACCTTTGCCAAGTACACAGAAAGAACAGCTTTCGAGAGGCCATTAACAAGTGGTGTGGCATATGCTGTGAGGGTCCTTCACTGGGAAAGGGAGAAGTTCGAGAAGCAACAAGGCTGGTCCATTAGGACGATGAACACTGTTCAACAGAATCCAATTCAGAAGGACGACCATATGCCAGAGAAGTTGGAGCCATCTCCAGTCCAGGAGGAATATGCTCCGGTAATCTTGGCGCAAGATACTGTTGCTCATGTGGTTTCTCTTGATATGTTGTCTGGAAAAGTAAGATTTATCTATCCATTTTCATGGATGTATGTTTGAATTTTAATTGATTGGTGGTTTGGTAGTTAGGAACAAGTTTGGAGTTCTCATTTTGTAAGCCTCAAATATTCATTTGTGGAACTTGTAGGAAGACCGCGGCAATGTGCTACGAGCAAGAGAATCTGGGAAGGGGGTACTAACTGCTCCTTTTAGGTTATTGAAAACCAATCGCCTTGGTGTAATTTTGACATTTGCTGTCTATAAAAGGGATCTCCCTCCGGATGCAACTCCACGGGAGAGAGTGGAAGCTACTGATGGGTAAATATTGTCTATCCCATTACGATGTGCAGTGATAAGATGCTGAGGCTTATTCAGTCTTTTAACTTCGTGCATTATGCTTTTTCAGGTATTTGGGAGGTATCTTCGACATTGAGTCACTAGTTGAGAAGCTACTTCAACAGCTCGCCAGCAAACAAACCATCTTGGTGAATGTATATGATACAACTAATCGTTCTCACCCAATCAGTATGTATGGCTCGAATGTATATGTCGACAAATTGGAGCATGTGAGCGCCCTCAACTTCGGTGACCCCTTTCGAGACCATGAAATGCGGTGCAGGTAATTTAATAACTGACGTCTCTGTTTTTAGTCAGCATGTATTCAAATTCGGTTGTCATTAGCTATTGTTTTTTCTTTTGAATCCAGATTCAAGCAAAAAGCCCCATTGCCGTGGCTTGCAATAACGACTTCCGTTTCTACCCTTGTGATTACTTTACTCATTGGATACATAGGCTATGCAACTATGAATCGTATGGCCAAAGTACAGGAGGAATACGATGAGATGATTGAGTTAAAGAAAAGGGCTGAGGCTGCTGATGTTGCAAAGTCTCAGGTAATTCAGTGTGTGTAGTTTCTTTAGTTGAAGTTCTTTCTTTGCTTTGGCCTGTTAGGGGTTTATTTTTTACCTGTCTCCCTTGTGTTGCAGTTTCTTGCTACTGTCTCTCACGAGATCAGGACCCCAATGAATGGTGTACTAGGTAAGGTCGAACAGCTCTTTTTCCTTTTTACGAGTATGCTTGATATCAAGTTCTTTGGGATGTAATACCTTGTGTTCGGATTTACTTTGCCAGGAATGTTAGATATGCTTTTATACACTGATCTTGATGTGACGCAACAAGACCATGTCCGAACTGCACAGGCTAGTGGAAAAGCTCTTGTCTCACTTATCAATGAGGTGTTGGACCAAGCAAAGATAGAGTCTGGGAAACTTGATCTTGAAGCCGTACGGTTCGACCTTAGAGCCATTATGGATGATGTGTTGTCTCTCTTCTCTGGAAAGTCTCAGGAGAAAGGGGTTGAGGTAGGCATATGATCAGTCTTAGATACTCTTTTGAATTTTTGAATCAGCTTCCATTTCCCAACTAATAAACTGTCTTTTGTTACAGTTGGCCGTTTATATCTCTCACCGTGTTCCTGACACACTCATCGGTGATCCGGGAAGGTTCCGACAAATTATCACCAACCTCATGGGAAATTCAATAAAAGTAAGTCCCAAAATTAGTCATGTTCTTCTTCTGTACTCCTCGTCGGAATGTCTAATGATGACTGATATGTGAGATCATTGAGAACGAGAGCTTGGGAAAGGAAAGCATCTCTTCTCATTGTTCAGAAAGAAAGAAAAAAAAAAGCCTTTACATTACTAATCAAGGAGCTGACGTCCTTTACATTGTTCAGCCTTAATTAAATGTAACCACTTCCCCTAACTATGTAACAGGCTAACCACTTCTTAACTGTCTGAAGGGCAATATATCCCAAAAAGCTTGGTAACTGATGTAACATCTAATAGGTTGAGTTGATTACTCTAACATGATGGTTTCTTCTGTTGTTTTGTAATCAGTTCACTGAGAAAGGACACATTTTGGTTACCGTGCATCTTGTTGAGGAAGTGATGGAAACCACAGATATTGAAAAAGAAGCATTATCAAGGAAGACATTGAGCGGGTTTCCTGTGCCAGATAGACGCCGCAGTTGGGCAGGATTCAGAAATTTCAGTCAAGATGGATCCAATTGCTCTTTCTCTCCCGACCTTATCAATGTAATTGTATCGGTGGAGGATACAGGAGAAGGTATTCCTCAAGAAGCTCATTCTCGTATCTTCACTCCTTTTGTTCAAGTTGGTCAATCCATCTCTAGAAAACAAGGAGGAACCGGAATTGGCCTTAGCATAAGCAAATGTTTGGTGACCCTAATGAATGGGGAAATCGGATTCGTGAGCATACCAAAGGTTGGTTCCACCTTCACATTTACTGCCATATTTACAAATGGTTGTTCGAAGCTCAGCCAATCTAAGATGGCGTACCCAGAGTTTCAAGGCATGAGAGCTTTGGTCGTCGATTCTAGGCAAGTTAGAGCCAAGGTCTCGATATACCATGTGCAAAGGCTTGGAATTCAAGTAGAAGTAGTTCCTACTTTGGACCAAGCTTTGTCTAGTATAAGTACTGGGGACACAGTTTTCAGCATGGTCCTAGTTGAACAAGATGTATGGGATGTAGATTCAACAGTTGCTTCTCTCTTTGTCAACAACTTACGAAAATTGGACCACCAACGTTGTCCAAAGCTATTCCTCCTTGCAAACTCTGTCAACTATTCCAAAACAAGCACCATGAGTCTCGATCTTCATGGACCGAGTACCATCATGAAGCCACTGAGGTCAAGTATGTTAGCCGCATCTTTGCAAAGAGCAATGGGAGTGGGGAACAAGGGGAATCCCAGGGAGCTCCCTAGTTTGTCTCTTCGAGGATTGCTTGCTGGAAGGAAGATTCTTATTGTGGATGACAATTATGTGAACCTTAAGGTAGCTACCGGTGCTTTGAAAAGATACGGAGCTGATGTGGTCTCAGCCGAGAGTGGTGAGAAGGCGATATCTTTCCTCGAGCCTCCTCACACGTTTGATGCCTGCTTCATGGACATCCAGATGCCTGAGATGGATGGGTAAATTGGTCTTTTCATTAGTCTATTTCTTCTGCCTATCTTTTTGGGTCTCTGCTGATTTTGTTTTACCTGCAGCTTTGAAGCTACAAGAAGAATAAGGGAAATGGAAGATAATATCAATGTTCGAATTCAAAATGGAGATGTATCAATTGAAGCATGTGGAAACATCTCGAATTGGCATGTACCCGTGTTGGCAATGACAGCTGATGTCATCCAGGCGACACAAGAGGAATGCTTGCGCTGTGGGATGGATGGATATGTTTCCAAGCCGTTTGAAGCCGAACAATTGTATCAGGAAGTTTCACGTTTTTTCACAAGTTAACTTCCGATGAAATGTACAGAGAGAACTTCTGAATGAGCTAAGAGCTCAATCAGCAGCATAGGTCCTTGGCCAGTTCAGAAGCTGCTCAGATGGGATTACCATATTTTGCCCCCACAGTGAGTAATACTTGAACCTGGATGAACAAACACTTGATGCAAGTTTCATGTTCTCCACTCATCCTGATACTATTATCTCATGTTCCTTCTCGAAAGCTTCTGATCCGTGGCATTGTTGTACATAAGAGCCATGATTATTGATTCGGTAGAGCTCGAGCTTCCATCCCATCGTAGAGTTGAAGCATCATTTTCCTTGTGAAGCTGGATAATATCTCCCCGCCATTCAGAAGTTTCAATTACAGTAGAGTCTATGTGCAGAGAGCAGAAAGTTGCTGTTAGAATAGGCGGCGATTCGAGCAAGTCTGCAAGTATATGAAGATAAATCTCCTTTTGTAGCGTACTAGTGTACCCAATGTTTGTACCATAGATTCCAGTTGAAGCAATGAGAAACAGAAAGGTAGCTATCGTTTCTTCCCCCTAGCAAAGTAGAGAGAACTGTATCTTGTATATGTGTTTTAGAAAGTTGTCAAATCTCTAGACTAGACTGTTTGTTTTTGGCTTGAGTTTATTTTTGTAGTATGTAAGATTGCCATTGCTATGAATTTGAGGTGGTGTATAATTGTATAGATGTGTAAAACTAAGATCCAGATATCTTCTTATCATCTCCCATTTGTTTCCTGGATTCAAAAGCAAGAGAGAGCTTTTGCAGATGTATGCAGCAGGGAAAGGGGCACTGAACCATAGCCATTTGAAATTTTGATGGGAATCACCTGGCAAGTATAAACTGCAGTATAATACCCAATGTGATTCTCTTCCCAGGAATCCTAGATGAGATAGACCATATGCTTCAATTATTGTGAGTGGACAATATTCATACTTGCTCAACTTATCTGCTGTCTTCTTAACTTCTGCCAATCAAATTTCACTACTCGAGGAACTGGAAGGTGTTCTGTGTTCAGTTAAACAATAAGTTAGCTTGACAAAGTTGACCGTTGGATCAAACACAAAGCTAAGGAGATAAGGAAACTCAAGGACAATAGATACAATTTATACCATGGAAATTTAAGCAATATGTCGATATGTCCGAGTGGTTAAGGAGACAGACTTGAAATCTGTTGGGCTACGCCCGCGCAGGTTCGAACCCTGCTGTCGACGACTTATGTTTTTTTCTTAAACCCTCCTTGCTTTCTTTATTTTGCACGTCGGACCTCACAATTATCATTATTCTGCGCGTCGGCCCTCAGGTTCTGACAAATTTATCTTAGAAGCCCTTCGCATGGCCGGCCTATCTCCTTAGCCCGGGCCCTCCCCTCTTTTAACCTCAAGTCCGTCCAGTCCGTCTTCCCCTCTTCAAGCTTCGCGTTACTCCTAAGCTGTAAGAGAGAAAGCACAAAGAGAGCGGCGGGAAGAGTGCGAGAAGTTCCTTCCGCGAATTCGACATCCGGAGCTCTCAGCCATGGATCCAGACGCCGTCGCGAAGGCATTCGTGGATCACTACTACAGCATGTTCGACAGCAACCGAGCAGGATTGGCCAGTCTCTACGAGGATGGGTCGATGCTGACCTTCGAAGGCCAGAAGATCCAGGGCTCGCAGAACATCGTCGCCAAGCTCACCAGCCTTCCTTTCCAGCAGTGCCAGCACAGCATCACCACCGTCGATTGCCAGCCTTCTGGTCCCGCTGGCGGCATGCTCGTCTTCGTCTCTGGTAACCTTCAGCTCGCTGGCGAGCAGCACGCTCTCAAGTTCAGCCAGGTTTGTGTTCCTTCGACCTCGATCTTTGTCCAATTTCGTTTACGATGCTTCTTCGTGGGCATTGCTAGGGTTAGCAGCTAGTGCTTTTCCCCAATTCTGATCTTCTGCTAGTCGATCGTAGATACATAGATTGTGAGATTCGGATGTCTCGATTGAACGTTCTGCTGAAATTTAGGAGAAGGCTTAGGAACTTAGGGATTTGGTGACGGGATTAGGAAATAACGTATACTGTTTAAGGTTCTCTTAGATCTGACGATTCTGATCTTTCTGTGACCTTGAGAGCTTGGCATTCATGGCTTGTAATGTTTGCTAGCTTCGATTGTTGTATACTCGCTAGATTCAGTTGTTCGGTAATTCGTAATTCACCATTGCTGCTGTATTTATGTTTGCTGGCCGTTTCCTTTTCACAGTAGTAGTTTGGAATAGTACTGATTCTTATTTTTCCAGGTTTATGCTAATTGCATCATTCATTCCTGCCAAAACTAAGCATCAAGCTGTTGCAATCATTCCTTTTGGTTACTGCCTCATTTAGTCTTGTTATCTGTTTTCTAGGTTGCTGATATTTTAATTGTTTTCAGCCTTGAGGACAAGGCTGTTCTCAAGGAGTTATTGGTTTGTTGCTGTTACACTAGTTTTGCTTTGAGCTCAGATTTTTCCAGGTTTATGCTAATTGCATCATCCATTCTTTCCATCTTAGGCATAATTTTAGTTCCTTCGGCTCTAGAGAGGCAGAGAGATGACTTCCTTAGATCAACCATACACCGAACTGTAGATACTTCTTGGGAGACCCAAATATTTCAGTTGTCTAGCAAACAGATATTCAGAGTGCTGTTTTAACCTCTACAGCTTTAACCTGGTTTTTATTGCTAATTGCATGATGATTCCTTGCATCCTTTATCTTTGGGATGGCTTAGTTTCTTGAGGTTGGAGAGAATAAGAGATGGCTTCAGTTGATCAATCACACAACAGGGATCTTATTTTCTTTCAATACTTTCTGCAATAACCTTGGATTTCAGTTGTCTAGCAGAGAGAAATTTAATGTCGTTTCCATGATTGTAGGAAAACTGATTAATCTCCCATGACATTGTGGGATGACACTTATTGGATACAGTATTCTGCTGCTAACCGAACTTTAGAGACCTTCTATGTTTCTTTCCCAGTTCTTACTGCATACATCTTGCAAGTGCTTATGGCGTGATTATGGTCTTTGTACTCGGGCCTTCAGTGTTACAAAACGCGTAAGGTTTAGCTAATCGATGTGAACACTACTTGGCTAGCCAGTGCTTCTCTGGCATTGTCTTGTAGGAGACATCTTGTTCTTGATTGCAATTTTGTGCGTTGCTATGTTGATATGCTGTAAAATATTTTGATGGTGGAGACCTGATTTGCATCAACCCTCTTGCTGACCATCTTTTTTCCTCATGGTTTCTGCATTTTCAGATGTTCCATTTGATGCCAACACCAACAGGAAGCTTCTATGTGTTTAATGACATTTTCCGGTTGAACTATGCTTGAAGGACATCGATCGAGGAGGAGAGAAAACGTCCTTATGTGAACCTGAATCTCCAGGGTTTTTCTTTGATCAGTTTGCTTCTTTTCTCTTCTGTTCTGGACATTCCAAATGGTAAACTCGGAATTTCGGTTATTGTTCGAATCTCCTTCACCGCTTTGTTGCCGAAAGTTGCTCCTTGACTCTAGTGTTTAAATTTAAGAAACGGTTGGTCGCAGTATTGGAATATCTTTGAAACTTTCTTCGACCTGTCTTGCTTGCTAGATATCCTTCTACCAAGCAAATGATGATAATGACAAAATAGACACAGAACGTTGCCCAGTTTTCCCCAACTGCAGAAAAACAATACTAGGAATGGATTGATACAACAAATACACTGCAAAAATGTTGTTGCTTCCAAGGCTTGCTACGACTACTTGTCGCCATTGAGCCCGAAATCCACGCAGGGAAGCTGGGGCATGTTGATGGTGGAACCAGAATCCGTCTCCTCAGCAGATTGCTTCCTCTCTCCATCCTGCTCGTTTCGAACCCGGCCTGGAAAGAAGGTGCTCAGCAAGGACCTCACTGGATGGCTTAGTTTGTCCTTCACCGCCAAGGCGATGGACACCTCGGAGACTTGCCAGCCCACCGTCACCACAATCAGAGCAGAAAGCAGGCAGTGGGTGATGAAGTTCTGCCTCTTCACCTTCCTAATCTCCTTCACTAGCTCCTCATCTGCATCTGTTTTCTTGCTGTCCCGACGGATTCTCGACCTGCCTTCTCCGCCTCGCGGGGAGCTTGCCTCCGATGACCCGGGTTGCTTCAGCGTCCCTTCTCCTTTCAGCGATTCCAACTGTCCACGGTAACGCGTAGAATCACTTTTCTATTTATTCTCTATGGATCTTCATTCAGAATCTGTATGTTGTAGTAGACGAGGGATGATTGTTACCTCGGAGAGCAGTCTGGAGAGAATAGGCCGATCTTTGTCGTCTAATGGGATGGAATCGCCGTAGACTTCTTCTTCTTCTTCTACTTGGTTCTTCTTCTTCTTCTTCTCTTGTGCTAGCTTCTGGATTTCATCGGTGAGAAACTGCAACTTCTGAGTCGATTCCATTGCCTTGTTTGATTCTTGGTCGATCATGGGGAATTGAATCCTTTGAGGGGTGGCTTGAGATTGGAGTTTGGGGGGGAAGGATAGCTACAGATTCCAGAACTGAAAGGGGGGAAGGGTAGAAGATGAATCATTTGCCGGAAAACGCGAATGGACACGTGGGTGCATGTCCATATCGTGGCTCCATGTGGAGCGATGGTTTCTTCCTGCGGCGGTGGTGCTTCATTAATTTAGCTACCAAGAAAGCCCATCTAAACCGCAGCATGGGCTTTCAGCACCCGAATCTGTTGTCTTATGGGCTTATTACACTAACCTGCAGGCTGCAGCTAGGGTGTTGAAATGATTATCATGATAATTATCAAACCAATTAAGTGTAAATTATATTAATTAGATATTATCCAAATTAATATAATAATTAAATTCGTCAAATTAATGTTTAATCGGTTTGATTAATTGGTTTATCTTATTAACCAATATAACATAATATTATCGTAGTGAGGAAAATCTACACATCAATTCATAATATATTAATGAATAAAACATGAAAATCAACTTATAGTTAACCTTCAACATAAATACATGTGAGGAATATTATTATCTTACAATAATTAGATGTAGCCACCTAACATAACTATATACAAACTGTATGGGCAACGAATGGGATGTGTCTGGTGTGAATTGTCACAGTCACTTAATAGTTAACATACGCTGAAAAAAGTCTTCCCTTTTAGGTTTTCATCCAACATAATGTATGAACTTTATCTAAATTAGGAGCACATATAGTATTGCCTACCCTCTATGATGACTCGGTATTTGCACATGTTTTCCCCTTTGTTTCTTGATTGTTTGAGCTTGAATTATTGCGTCTTTGTCCTATTTTATGCTAGGTTGTGTTCCTTTGTCACATTTCAGGTCCTAGCACATAAAGTGAAGCATAGGCGCAAGTTTCAAATCAATCAGAGATCAATTGACGATTCGGGAGAAGAAACTCGGGCATGACCTGAAGAAGAATGGATTTTTACCTCACTTTATGGACAAAGAATCATGCAAGCTTGTCATGAAAAGAAAGAGGACGAGACTACGAGCGTCTACGATCAAACGGGGACTGATTCGGAGTCCGGACGAGGGAGAAACGAAGCATTAAACAGAGGCTGAGCAAGCCACACAGGCATCCTGGAATTCCACACGGCCGTGTGGGTCGTGGCCGTGTGGAAATCACCGAGCCTTCACACGGGCAGCTGGGAAAGCCACACGGCCGTGTTGCCTGGCCGCGTGATCGGGAATTTCTGTTTAAAACTCGATTTTCAGCCAAAGGAAAGGGGAGAGTTGGGTTTTTGGTTCCCAAACACCCAAGGGACGAACCCTAGAGAGAGAGCGACTTGGGAACATTCTTGGAGCTATTTTGGAGGATTTCTTCGTCATTGGAGCTCGGGAATCAAGCTTGGAGATGGAGATTGAAGATCCAGATCAGATTTCTGCAGTCTCTCTCTTCTCTATGGAGTAACTTCCCTTCACTTAGGTTTTGAGGAACCCTAGTTCCATGTGTTTGGATCTTTCTTGTATGAAGTTTTGGATGCTATATTGTTTGATTATAATCGATTGAGGCATGATTTATTGAGTCAATTGAATCTTGATCAAATTCTCTTGATTTCTGCTTTAACTTATGATAGATAGAATCTGATTAGGTTAAGAGAGCTTCCTTGATTGATGGTGGTGAATTGGTTATACGAGAGTTAGTCAATCTACTGCTTCGTACTGGAATCCAATTCCGGTAGTGGAGTTCTATGTTCATAGCCTCAGCTTTCTATCCTGATGAAGGTTAGTCGCCTGCCGGGTAGTTGGACTGAGAGGGCTTGGTCAGCTTAAGAGATTCCAAGCTACTGTCGGATCTTCCGCAGTTTAATCAACATTAGATCAACCAAAGGTAATTGCAACTTGGACCTAATTGAGGAGCTAGGGGGAATCATACCTAAGTGAGTTCACAACTTGTAATTAGTAGAGTAGTCAGTAGAGTAGTTTATAAATCAATCCTTAATCTAGTTTGCTAGATAATGAACTAAAGCTGAGTAATAGTAACTCTAGAGACCCGTGGATTCGATATTTATTACTTGTGCCACTATACTGCAGTCTAATCAACAGTAAATCAACCCAGGGAAATTACAATTGAGACCTAACTAAGGAGCTAGGGGGACTCATTCCCGAGTGACTCTTCTTTGCTTGAGAAAACCGAACCAATTCCTGCTTTCTTACTGCTTTTGCTTTAAACAACAATCACTTAACTTAGTTGGCTAGATAATAGATAATCGCGGAGTAACCAGTAGATCTAGACCCCGGGTTGATAATAGAACTTGCCACTTTACTGCATTCCCGGACTGCGATTACACTTGGTCGCAGTTTGGTGTTGTGTTTTGGCGTGTCAAGTTTTTGGCGCCGTTGCCGGGGATTTTCTAGAGTATTAGGAAAGGCAGAAGTTTGTTACTTTAACGTTTTTCTTTTCTTTTCCACCCTTGCTTTTCACTTGGGTGCTTTTGTTTTTGTTGGTGCAGATCTGAATCATGGATCCTCATGGCTTCTCCAACAATTGGGGGTATCCACCACCACCCGAGTGGTATTGCCCCGAGACTCCCTGGAGCAATCAAGGAGGAGAAGACTATGGATTCGGGTTCCAGTACCACCCCCTTACTACGGAGAACAACCGGACCCCTGGGCATATCAAGAACAACCTCATTACCAAGAAGAATTTCTCCCACAACCAGAAGGGCCATCGGCGCTGGAGTTACCCATGGAGGCCTTCACGGGCCATTCTGCAGAGCCATGCTACACTCCGCAGTCAGATCCAAACTATGAATTGAGGCTTCTCATGGAGCAGTTTGCTCGAGACAGTGAGAGAACATGCTCCAGGATGGATCATTGTGTCCAGGCCTATCATGAAACAGAGGAGATCCTCCTGAGCCTTAAGAAGAGCGTCGATGATCTTGAGCGATCTTGTGCACAACCTGCTCCCGATCACCCTTCTGCTACCATACTAGAAGAGGAGGAGGAAGAAGAAGGCTACAAGGACATTGTGGAGCACACTAAAGTTGTCACGGAGAGCTCCCGTGATGATCATGATCAGGAATGTCCTGTCATAGCCGACCACAACTTCCCACATCCCAAACTGTGTTTTGAAGAGGCGGGCATGAGTGAGGAGATGCAAGAAGATCTCATGAAAGAAATTGCGTGGCAGCTTGCTCTCCAACCCGTGCTAGAAGAAGAAGAGCCAGAAAGGCTGCAGAAAGAAGTTGTGGAGGATGCCGAAAGTGAAGCAGAAGGAGTTCTTAATCATTTCCCAGGGGTGATACCACATGAAGAAGAAAGGGAGGTTGAAGAAGCAATGGGCGTCCAGACTGAGGACGAAGTTGAGGTGGAAGAGGCTTGCACCGGCTATGAGTTACTTGTGATCCATGTCCAAATGACATCCAAATTTTGGACCAGTATGTAAATTTTGAAAATTAGGCATCTAAACGTAAGCTTTAATGACATTTTTTGCATAAAAAATAAAGTCTAGGTACCAAATTGTAAATGTAAGAAATATAGGTACTAAACTATAATTTGTCATTTCAATCTATAGATAAATCTATGAATCCACCAATCCAATTAAATTTAGATTAAATGAATTGGATTAGTTGGATATTTAAGTGGCTAGATTGTATTGAATTAGTGGATGAGATTATAAATTTCTTCACCCCATCTGGATGATTGTTATTTGGCACGTACTTACTGTTAATCTATTCCGGAAAAGGAAATGTAACATCCCATTTCGGCTAAACCCATATTTCGTTCTCTAGAAAATTTCACGATTTAAAATCGAGCATTTCGACACTATTTCAGCAAAAATCGGATTATCGATCGGATAAGTATACGTATTAATTATATATATATATATAATATTACATTAAGAGGCCACATATATAAACCCTTCCCCTTCATTCTTCCGCATCCATTTCTTCTTCTTCTTGGCCGAGAGAAAACAGAGAAGCAGAGG